TTTTCAGCAATGGTATTATTTGTCACAAAAGTAAAATAGTCTCATGCAAGCAGGTGGTATAGTAGTTAAGGCACTGGACTCCTACCTGACTTACCGTGGTTCAAGTCTTGGACCTTGTGGCTTGAAAATCATGCCAGACACCTGGGCATCTGTCCCTAAAATCCCAGAAGGATAATAGAGGAGAGGGGATGGTGAAATGGCCATCCCTTCAGGGGGTGATTTCTCACTTTCCTTCTTACTGTCTCTCTCCAGCGAGCACACGCATTCCATAGCAAAAATCTTAAAAATTTTTAAAAAGGTAAAATCTTCTCAGAAAAGTAAACATTACTTATTAGGTAATAATACTTCCCATTCTGCAGTATTCTTTGAAGAGTTGTATGTTTAAGCTCTTTTATAGTGCTTTGTTTGTTGCCTTGATAATGTACCCTTATCATGTAGGCATTTTAAGCATGAAGACATGACAGACCTGTAAGCATTGCCATATCCCATTTCCTGCAAATAAAATTGCACTACATGTTCTGTCATAGACATAAAGTGATTTTTAAGCTTTTCTATAAGCCAGATGAGCTTGCCAGAGAGAGTCAGAGAGAGAGAGAAAGAGAGGGACAATGAAAGCATCCCCCAGGGAAGACAGCCGCACTGCAATCCCTTCTCCTCCATTCTCTTGGGATTCTGGGCATACATGCACACCTGAATGGCATGTTTTTCAGGCACTGGGTCCAGGACTGACTGTGCAGTTGGCCACATACGATCCAGAGATTTAGCCTCTGCGCCACCTGCCGGCCCATGGCATAGACTTCTTTCTGTGATATTAACGTCAGTTCAGACAGTCACAATCTTAAACATATTAGCTAATGCATTTTGTAAGACAGTATTCGTTATATTTGAAAAGACATGGTCACCTTATTATGGAGTATGTTGCTTTGATTTAAATCATTTCATAAGTGGACAACAACAGCAATAATAATAATAATAATAATATCCTGGAAGTAAGATACCTGTGGAATACCGAACAGAAATTTCCTTCTGGGACCAGCGGTTAACGTAATGGCTATGTTGCTGGACTCCCATGTAGTCAACCATGGTTCGAGTCCCGGACCCGGTGGCTTAAACTCATGCTGGGCGCATGTGTGTGCATGCCCAAGAGCCCGAGAGGAGAAGGGATTGTGGCATGGCCATCCCCTCTGGGGGGGGGCGCGATTTCTTGCTTTCTGTCTCTCTGTCTCTCTCTGTCTTTACGGTGAGCACACACATCCTAGAGCAAAAACCTCTCTCAAAAAAAAAAAAAAATTCCTTCTGGCCAAAAGTTTCTTTTTTGTCTTTATTGTTCCTTTTCTACCTTTTCCTTTTTACTGTTACTATTATTCACTTTCCCTATATTTTCTTCCTCTCTTTTCCACTATTAAACTTTTATTTTTTTTGTAATTTTCTTTTTATTTCTCAAATTCATACATGTTATATTTTCCCATTTTTGAGGTCTGACTGCACCACCCATTGAAGGTCTGTCATTATGTCTTCACTCATCCATCATCCACTCATTTGTTTCTAGGATTATATAGAGGAGTATGCTCTATTAGACACTGTGCAATGGCAGGAGAGATGGATAATAATATCTAATTTTTATTGAAGTTTACTATGTGCTAGGCATGGTTTTGTAAATATATATATATATACACACACACACACACACACACCTTATATATAAGATTTAATCCTTACAACAGCCCTAAAAATAAAATCAATTTTTAAATAAAATTATTTAATAATAATAATAATAATTATTATTATTATTTAATTTGCTATAGGGCAGATGAGCTCACCAGAGAGAGAGAGGGAAAATGAGAAAACAAGCTGACATGTCCAGGACCTGGAACTGTGGTCGGCCATGTGGGAATCAAGTACCTTAACCACCACTGCCAACTACTGGTCCCTAGATCCAGGTTTTTATCTTTATTTTACTGATGGAGAAACTAAGGTACACAGTAGAAAGTTAAATTATCCATGATCACACAATAAGTATTAATGACAGAGCTGGGAAAGATACTGTCTTTAGAGCTATTTGAGGAAACATTAATGGTACAATGTGGGGTGGTGGGAGTGGACATAGAGTGAGAACTTTGTGGGAAAGAGAACTCAAATGGTTAAAGGTAACTCTTGAACACAGCTCAAAGTTATCAACTTTTAAATTTCTGTAAAATAAAATCACACCCAGACCACTGTCAGCTATTGATAGAAGTGAAAACCACCAAGCACCTGATAAAAGGTGAAAAGAACACATGGCCATTTTAGTTAATAAGTATCTGTTAAAACGTGTGTATGGGCTAGCAGGTGGCGCAGAGGTTAAGGTGTTGGATCCCTAATGGCTAGCTGAACATTTCAAGGCCCGGACCCAGTGACTTGAAAATCATGCCAGACATGTGTGTGTTTCTTCCCAAAATTCTGAGAAGATAGTGAAGGAGAAGGGATTGTGGCATGGTCATCCCCATGGGGAGGTGGTTTCTCATTTTTCCACTGTGTGTATGTGTGTGTGTGGGGTGAGCCCAAGCATTCCATAGCAAAACAAAACAAAATGTGGATGTATATTGCATTTAATAGGTTATTTATTTATTTGTACTAGAACCAAGATGTGTGGCAGCTGATGACTGGTGTTAATTCCAAGCTCTGGAAAGGTTGTAGTAAAGACTTTGGTGTGAAAATCAGTAGGATTTTCTTCATTTCAGTTTCTGTCTTTAAACCACATAAAGTCAAACAGAAAAATAATTAGATCCGGAATAATTTAGGCATTTAAATAATTTCAAGAATTCAAGTAGACTGTGATTCTTACATGCTGGACTATCTAGTTGATTATAGTAATTTATTTAGAATCACCAAGATTAATCTATGCAGAAATAGTCCGAAAAGTCACTTTTTTTCCTAGTTGGTTAATAGGTGATGAAACTTAAGCAAAAATAGAACGTCACGATAAATTCTTTTCAAAATTGTGTAGAGAACTTTTACATTTTTGGTTCATAAATACTCAGGAGAGAGATGTCATTTATTTATACTATTGCTATAACAGAATTATCCCTCATATTTGTTTGATTCTGGAAAATTGTCAGAAGATAATATTTTTAATGTTAACACTGTTTTTTTTTTTTTTTTTTTTTTTGAGAGGTTTTTGCCATAGGGCGCGTACACTCGCCAGACAGACAGAGAGAGACAGAAAGTGAGAAATCATCCCCTGGGGGGATGGCCACGCCACAATCCCTTCCCCTCCATTCTCCTCTCAGGATCTTGGTATGCACGCACACATACCCGGTGTGTTTTAAGTCACCAGGTCTGGGATGCGAACCACGGTTGACTACATGGGAGTCCAGCGACACAGCCATTATGCTAAGTGCTGGTCCCATTTAGCACTGTTTTAATGTGCATAGTTTATATCTATTTTTCATTGCATATACAGTTACATTGTGGTGGTCAAGAAGTACCCCTTTATTGTTTTACTCAAATATGTATGATGTCATTTTCCTACCTGTCCCCTTTGGAAAAAATAGTTTTAAAACGTCATGAAAACATGTTTAATGGTTTCTTGTCTCTTGGGGACATACTCAGTTCCCTTGGCTAATGTGGAGAAGAATGAGTCATTTCATGTTCATTGGGAAATCTTGTCTGAAGATTCTAGATAATACTAAAATACAGTCTGATTACATAGCCTAGACCATAGCATTACAAGGGTATTTTGACCTCATTCTAATGTGATCATCTGTCTACTTTTCTCCTGCTTCCTTTTGTACTGGTATTTGTAGATATTAGGCACAAAGTAATAAAATTGGCATTCATAGTAATGTTGCCTCCAAAATTATGTAAAAGACAATTTGATGAATGTTAGCCTTTTAGTAAAAGCTTATGGAAGCACTTAGCTCTATTTTGCTTTTATGTTTTTCTGCTTCATCATTAATTTTTGAAATTTCTAAACTTTCCGAGCCATCATTTTGAGAGAAAAATAGATCAAAATCCTACTTTTATGTTCCAAACTTTCTTCTCCAATATTTTTGTTCCTTTTTATTTTACCATACTTTGGATAGTTAAATCATATGCATTATTCACATTTAGAGGGGAAGAAAGAGAAACTAAAAGCCGAAGTGGTTTGAGAGCACATGTTGCATGAAATCGACCAATCTCAATAGGGTGGTAATACTGGTCCTAAACTAGAAAGCAGTATGCCAGCTTTTGACTGCTTGAGGAATCTGGGCACAACTGACATAGTAGAGTGGATTAGCAGTATCATAACAAAGAGAGGAATGGAGGGGGTCCTTGGTCATTAATTGGAAATTTTGTCTTCCAATGATTCTTGGATTTTTTGCAATTATATATGAAACAATGAATCCACACGCCCTCACTGAAATGTTTAAGAGTAGAAATGGCAAATCCTCCTGAGAAATGTGCACTTTCATAGATAGTCACCATTTGGAAAGAACACATCATGACGGTGTGCAATTGTGAGAAATACTCAACAACACTGGACATGATTGAGAATAAGTCTCTTGCAAAAGCCTTTCATAAAATAGAATCACAAGAAGATAACATCTCTTCCCTTTCTCTGATTCCTTATCTTTCGACCTCTTTTTCCTTAAATGTACTACTCGTGTACATGTTTTAGGAGCACCAGACTGCATAAGAGAATACATTTATTATAGAACGAAACTTAAAGTCATGGCAGTGATGTTTTTATTGGTATAACAGTAATGTTGTACTGTAGATAGCAGTCACAAAGCTCTTTTTCCATCATGGTTTTTCATACTAATTTTACCATACCATTGTATAGGTAAACTGACTGTGGAAAAGATTTGAATGAACCCTTAGACTTTGACTCAAGGGGGAAAAAATATGAATTCATGTCTCATCTTAACATTACCCTTTCCTGGGACATTCATTTGTTATACCATGGTAAGAAAAGTAGGTGTTCTTATGCTTTTTTATAAATCCTTCAATTTCTCAACAAAGACTTATTTCTTTTTCAGGGCCGGTGCATAAACTTTTCCCGAGTTCCATCTCAGTAAAATGAAGGCAGGAAGACCAAGATGATATGAAGATGGCACATTTTCACATACTGATTTCCAACCAAAGGAGAAAAATCAAGTGCACTTCAGAAGCTTTTGGAAGAGCAGATCAATTCCTCCCAATCAGGAAATGTTTTCTGTGCCTTCTGCTTTGCTCACACCAAATATTTTCAGACACTTGTCCTGCCACATACATGGAAGGTGATGATCCTCATGGTAACTCATGATTCATGGTATTGAGAATAAAGAGGAGCATTCACACTGTGGCTTACACAAGAAAGTTGTTTGAGTATGTAAAAGAGGAAAAAGCAACAACAACATGAAGATGAAAACAGAAACCACAAAACAACTAGCCACGATGGGTCTTTCATGGAGACAGAAGTTTTTCACATGGAAAGATGGCTCATGTTTTTCAGTATGGCAAGATCTCTAGCCATTGGCAGAGTATGAAACTTCCTACCAGGAGAAGTAAATAAAGGAGTCCATTGCCTTAGAGCTATGTCAGATCACAAAATCCTTCCAAGTCCCCTATCACGCTGTGCCTTACGGGAAGTTTCTGACTGGAAAATCTTGTCATTCTAACACTGAAAAGTGCACACGCATGACAAAATGTAGACAGGTTGCCTCAAGGTATTGGTAGCAAGCAAGATTTTGCCCTTTAGTTTTTGAAGACACCTTTCTTTCATTATGCACTCGGGACAAGAAAATTAATGGAGCGTTATTCCACAGGAAGACAGCCTCTAGCCAGAGATCTTGAGTGGTGTGTAAGGGACTTTGATGTGAAAACTTGTCCCTATGACTGGTAGATTTCCTCCTTTTTATATGTTTAGGATTTAGTAGTGCATAAAGCATTAATATCTGTAAACATACCTAGGAGTTTGTTTTGCTTTTAATTTAAAGGAAGCGGTAACCACGATGCTTCCGCTCAGGGTTTTTTCTTCCTTCACGTCTCCAAGGGCTCTTCAGCGTCACAAGCCAGCAACTCTCTTTGCATGAAAATTTCAAAGTTTAATTAATATAATTAAAGGCAACAGCAAGCAGCAGCCTGTGAAGATTTTGCTCATCTTTTTTATGCCTTTTGACATTGAATGACCTATTACTATATGCGCATTACTTGGATTTTGAGGGGCGCTCTACCTTGGTTATGATTCACTAGAAGAAAAAGACCTTCTTTCTCCAGTTTATAAATTGAATTTTCAGGAGGGTCGCCATCACAAAACATTGATGATGTATGTATTATAATTTTTTAGAAAAACCATCGTGTCACGTTGACGATGCCAAATTATGTTAGCGTGAGCGGAAACACTGTGGGGGAGGAAGGAGGCAGCAGCTGAAGAAAAAAGCTCAAATGATCTAGTCACTTTCGATACTGTACTTCAGATGCGAAATGGATATTCGACTCGAAACCTGACAAAGCGCGCCTGCTTTGATGTGAACTGGTATAGACAATGACCAGTGGCTGGGTCAGTGGGATGTCTCTCTGCGAGCACAAAGGCTTATCAAATGACACTAAAAATAAGTTCAACAACCATCACGTTGGAAGGGAGAAGGCGAACATTTCATGTTTGGCGGGCATGTGAGTGCACAAGATGGAAAGAGCGATTTGGAGCATCCTGGTGTAATTACCCCCATTGTGCTCTTCGTGGAGATTTTAAAGAATGGAAGAGATTCTGTTGGTTGGTGTCCAGGTTTGTGGCATTGCTCCAAGAAGCCTTATGCACACACACAAATATATATGTAGATATATACACACATATGTATCCTCTAGCTTGAATCTTTTGCTCAAGTTTATTTATGTCACTGGCTGGCTGGATCCAAAGTCATGTGTTCACATATTCATAAATAAAATTTTTACCTGTGCCTGGGCTACCATTTTCTTCCACCTCACGTGTCTTCTTTGGTTGAATATACAGTTGTGCTGGTTAGTTTCAGGGACAGAATTGTATTCGGTTCCAAAATGTCCTTCATGTTCATAGATGATACTATTGGTGGTACCTTTGTGTGAAAATGTAACTTGGGAGTCTGAAATAACACACCCAACTCTCTTTGCAATGAGTTTTTTATAGACCTTTATTCTCACTTACCTCTGGAACAGGACTTTCTGCTACTTTCTCAAATGGACACCTCATTTCTGATCAATGCACACCCTTTAATGGTCTTTTAAGAGCATCAAGGATACTACAGAAACTATGTCTTTGGCAGTTTCTTGAAATTTCTCTAGCATCATATAGCATACCTACATTTTGCCACATGAGCAATGTAAATAAATCTCTAAATGGCAAAATTGCTTTCTGTACGTTGTAATGCAAATACAATGAAGGAGAGGCAGTTATCTATATGTAGTCTAAAAACACACCATTTAGAAAGTTCAAAGATAGGTGGAATTTTATTGTCCTTAAAGATATGAACCAGATCTACATTATGCTTTTCTCTGATTATATTAACTAGCAAATGAGAAGAATGTAAGGGGTACAGTTTCCTTACCAAAGGATGAGATAAAAAGTCTGCATACATTTCAACCAGAAAACTAGGTTAGAATAAAGCCATTTCTATAAATTTAATGGTGTTTTATTTTTTTAAAGAAAGAAATAGCTCCTGTTTAATTTTCTGGACATGATGTCAGTCAAGATCTAGGTTCTGTGTATAAATGAATAAGTCTTCCATAATCCATTTGTGTTGCATAAGGTTGCAAAAACAATTAAGTGGGAAATGACTCCTAACTTATGTGTCTACTCTGCCTAGAAAGAAAGTTTTGAAGGCATCTATATATATTTCATAACAATGTCTGTTCTTTATGGATTTGATCCATAAATATTTATCTATCTGAAAACTTTGATACTTGGAATGTTTTCCTTAAAGCATTTGGTGCTCCAAGAAAAAACATTTGGTGCTAAGAGTTGCAGCACTGATGCCTTTTCCCAAGTTAATTCTATTTTAAAAAATTATATTTCCTTCCCAATGAGATGCAGAGTAAAATTTGAGACCCTCCATTGAGTAGGGAGCAGCATCTGTCATCTATGGTTAATTACTATTTTGACAAAAGTATATAACATTTAAACCCCTATATTTCAAATTGTTAGAGAAAGAAGTGATTTGCTTGTATTCTACAATTTAAATACCAATTATTTTTTAAAACAATAAATCCTTACTGGAGGTAAGATCTGGCGTTTCTGTGAATTTTGAGTATTATCTAAATATTACTTACCATTCTTTACTTCTCAGAGACAGCAGCTTTGACCTGGGGACCCAAGCAATGGAGGATGAGTAGGTAGAGGTGCCTACTCAGAGGCAGATTTATCTAAACATTGAAACAAAATCAGATTATGGTTACCCAAGTGTGAAGACACCTTTGGTGAATCACCTTACACATATTATGTTTGAAATTTAAGAAGACAAGATATAACTAGACCGCAAATACGAGTATTACAAAGCGTTGTAACTTCCTCTTCCACGCAGATACCATATATTGGTTAACCTTCTACCAGCACAGAATAGCATCACATTACTTTTAGGAGGTTTATGAGAGTTTTCTCACTACCAGAAACTTTTGGCTGGTGTTTATGCACAGGAGAGAAATAGAGATCTTATTTTATATGAAAGAAAATATTTAATCTGGAAGCATAGAATAGCTCTGGAACACCTGTTATATAATTAAGAAAAGAAGCAGGCTGGTGAGGTGAGAGAACATTGTCTATTTGTAGGAGATGAAGGCAGTGCAGGCACATAGTCTAGTCGATGTTAGACTAATATGGTACTTAGTGAATTTCTGTGCCTTAGTTCTGAGAACATTTTAATTTTAGTCTATCTCTACACTTACTAGAATCTAATTCAGTCAATTGGATAAAAGAAAGATTTTTTTTGGAAACACGCAATGTAGGAGGCCCGGTGCTTGTTATTTTTGTGTTCTTCTGCCAAAAGAAAATGCTGATGAGAAAGTAGACAGCATACCATGTAAATTTATATAAAAATGTGATTGTTCCCATTGCTTTATAATAACGATATTAAGGTAATTTGCATGTGTGTGTATATGTGTATGTGAAAGAGAGAGACACAGAGAGATTGATTTTGTGTTGTGCCACAGAGAGTCTTGGTGTAACAACCAGGTGAGGGAGATGTTAGACCATAGCCTCAGTCAGCACGTAACTTGCGGCCATTAAACAGGAAACAGGTCAACTTCTCAACCATATGCTGGAGGTGGACTAAAGATATCTAAAGTTCTTTCCAGCGCTGAAATTTCTATTAATGTAGTTGTTTTGGAGCTTTTATTATTTCTCTCATATTTTTAAATGACTGCCTTCTCTATTTGTAGAGCATGGTAATATTAGCTTTGTAAACTGCCAGTTACAAAAAAGACGTTGAAACATAATACGTAATTCAGTAATTAGCCATAATAGAATAATTTCTTATTTAATTTCTTAGAATTTGTTGATAAATTTATATCTGATAAAGCCTTTCAAGAGATGAGTAAAATAGGGGCTAGCAGGTGGTGTGGTGGTTAAGGGTGCTGGACTCCCACATGGCTGATCATGGTTTGAGTCCTGGACCAGGAAGAAACTTCCCTGTGTGTGTGCGCGTGCATGTGTATCTATCTAGAAATATTAATAATAATAATAAAGTTAAATAAAAATAATTCTTTAAAAAAAGATGGGTAAAATTTTGGAAAATGTATTCATGTGTTTCATTCTAGTTTTATAGTCTTAGTAAGTGTCTCAAAGACAAATATAAGATGGCCAAAAATTGTTATGAAATATTTGTGCTTCCAGTTTTAATGATTAGGAGACTGTGCACTGACAAAAGTTAAATTACTCCACTCTTCTTTCCTTAATCAATATTTGAAGAAAAAATTTAATGGAGAGAAACTCTGCTTGTGTTGTTCATAACCAACAGTCAATGGAAAATATTTTATTGAGTGATTTGAACAAGTTTAGTAACCATAGTGTTAGAAATGTCAACCTTTCACAAAGTACCATTGTCTTAATGTAGAAAGATACTGTAAAAGTAAGGATTCAAAAATTTAAAAAGTGGACTCTAAACATCATGTCCTAGTTACTATGACGTTATTTACATCCTAGATAAACTATATTCGTAAGGCTGTAGATGTCGATAGGCAGCCCCCCAAAATTGTAAACATGATTAAAATGTACATTTACGAAGATTTCTAGTTGACTAGAAGCATGCAGAAGAGCAAATTTTCTAGAATGTAATATATTAAGAAATGCTTCCATAAAATAAAAGGTAAGGTGATTTTAAACAATTTAAATGCAAAACAAAGGAACTGAGAGCTATCAAAGATATAAATGAGACATAAATATATCAAAGATATAAATATCAAAATCCTTACACATACCTACAGAATCTCTTTTGCCATATTGGATGACAGTCACAGGTTCTGGGGATTAGGCCATGGATCTTTTGGTTGGCTGTTACTCAGCTAACCACAAAGCTATATATAATATTTTCCTTTTTGAAATATTTCCCTTCTGTATGACAGCATAAGAAAATGTACAAGATGAGTTCAGTGTTCTTTTGTCCCTTAGGTCCTCACCCGCCCATATTCATCAGGTCTTGTCATACCTGTGATTCTTTAAAGAGGAACTTCGTTTGCTCCCTTCCACAGTTTTATATTTTACTTGCGATTTTTCTCAGAAAAGGAAAAATGCCAGGGGATAAATTCTTAGAAGATTTTTGCCAGATGAGAAACCTTGCACAAGGCTGGGAAGCATATGGGCAAAAACTGCCTGTGGAGCATTTACTTGGTCTATCTGTGTAAGTCCAGAAGTTTACCTAGAGTTAGTCCCTCTGATACTTTTTTTGGTCATAATAAAAATCTATTTGGAAGGTTCTGAAATATCACCAAAGACACAGAACAAAAATAAGTTGGTACTCTAATGCTATCATCAGCAACAGCCAGATGGGTCTTAAACAGAAAGTTGTCCCCACCTGTTAATTGCTTTTTCCAGAATAAAAAGAGAAATGCTTTTGAAAGAAAGGAAAATGATTTAAAAGTTAATATGACAGCATCTATTTAAAATATGGTTCATGGGACCAGCAGTTAGTGTAATGGCTATGTCGATGGGCTCCCACGTAGTTGACCATGGTTCGTGTCCCGGACCTGGTGGCTTAAACTCACACAGGGCGCATGTGTGTGTGTTCCCAAGATCCCGAGAGGAGAATGGAGGAGAAGGGATTGCGGCGTGGCCATCCCCCCTGGGGGGTGATTTCTCACTTTCTGTCTCTCTGTCTATCTCTGTCTTTCTGGTGAGTGCATATGCCCTATAGCAAAAACCTCTCCAAAAAATAAAATATGGTTCAAGCAATCATCTTTAGGAAAACATCAATAAAATTGATAAACTCTGACATGACAAATAAAAAGGACTGAATTATCCAGATTTTCTCTAAAGTCTAACATTATCTACCATGTACCTTGAGTTCTTAGGGACAAATGATCAAATACTACACATGCAATACAATTGTTTACACATCTTATTTTTATTTGAGAGGCTTTTTTTTGTTAAAGGGCGCGTGCGCTCGCCAGAAAGAGAGACAGAAAGTGAGAAATCATCCCCTGTAGGGATGGCCATGCCGCAATCCCTTCTCCTCTTGGGATCTTGGGCATGCATGCACATGTGCCCGGTGTGAGTTTAAGCCACCAGGTCCAGGACTTGAACCACAGTCTACTACATGGGAGTCCAGCAACATAGCCATTACGCTAACTGCTGGTCCCAGTTTTCACATTTTGTATCTTCCTATACTTTGTATAGCTACACATGCACACACTTGTATACACACACACTCCTTTTTAAAGAAGTACATGTATATTTGAAGATGCTATAATGATTTACAGTATGAACTTCTATGTGCTTTGTGACCCTAAAGCTATCTTTGATTATTCCTGTGAAGCAATTTGACATCTGTATGTAATGATTTCTTGACATATTTAAAGAAAACCAGGCAAATCACTTGAGAACATTAACTTGTATTGATGTAATGTTCTATTATTTCCCACATTTATTATTCATTTTTTTTATTGAATAAATATATATAATATGTGTGCTATGTTTACAGTGTTAGTTTGACCAAAACCTAGAAAAAATTAGTGTTGTAAGGGAATGAGTGGAGGTTGAAAGAACTTTCTCATGATACTCTGTGAAGAAGTCTTACAACATGAATCCTGAGTGGCCCATTTAAAAGTAAACCCTGATCACATAAAATGAGATTTAATGCTAAATGAGGCCTGTTTTATATGGGCAACCCTAGATAAACCCTGTACTGCTGAGAGCATCTCATTTTGCTGCCACACAATTTTCAGGGTATATTAACAGCCTTCCTGAGGAATCAAAGTGCTTTTAAATCATTCTATTTGTTGCAAAACATCACTTCGGTGTAACTCACAGATAAGTTAAGCCACATAAAAATTTAATATCCCCTAAGGGTAAACAAAACAAAACAAAATGAAACATCATAAAAATGATGAGGTTAAGAAGGTTGACATGATTCCTGGGAAAAAGGGAACTTTCTGTAGGAAATTGTTTTCAGGGCCAGCTGAAGGACATTATGATAGAGATCATTGCTTTAACATAATTTCAGAGGCAGTTAATGTTGAACAGGGAAAGGAAAGAAAACCCAAGACAGTGAAAGGATAATTAATTCAGAGACTTAGTTTTAATTTCCAAGGATTATATGGTGAAGTGACCCTTTCGCAATGGAAAATGAAACAACTGGATGTGTATTTTAGTTCTTGACCTTTTGATATTGAACTGTTTCAGATATTTATTCTATTTTAACATCAATGTTAAAACCAGGTGAAGAACAATGCTGCTTGGGGTGCAGCTAGGTACTGCCACTTTTCAGCCTCCCAAGCATTCTGATTTTCTGATAGTTCCCGGGGATTGCAGAAATTTGTCTGGTGGAGTCCTGGGGTATAGGAGGTTAGTTGTGCATAACAGCCAGAAGTGAAAAGATCTCTCCAAATGAGTAAATGATAAGAGGTCAGTGATTTTGGTTCTATTGCCAAAAGAAAGGAGTCAAAATCTAAGAAGACTAGAAGCCATGTAGTAATTGTAATGGGGCTGAAAAGCAACAATGAGAACAAAGCCAGAGAGAAAGTGCTGTGAATTGGAGCATTCTTCAGCATACTTAATGAGTATTGGGGGATGGCTACCTTGTGCCATTCTGTGCACTAGAAGCGATGCTTCAGTGAGAAAGACAAACTGATCTCAACAATCTGGTAAGTAAAGACAGGCACTGAATGAGAAGACGCAAGTGTCTTGAGTTCTATAAAGAGAAAACTTAAAAGTG